GTAATTGTACGAAAAATACTAGATAGAAATAAAATTCTGAAATTTTATATTTAGATTGCAGATGGTATCTGTGTTTGAGATTTGGCAGTGATTTGGAAATGCTTCGTATATTTGTGTAAAAAGTACTAAATGGTACTAAATTTGGTATATAGTGAAGGGATAGGGCTGGAATCCTTAAATTTGATATTGAGGTCTCTGTTAGAACTAAAATTTAATTATGGAGGTGGCTTGAAATCTGAGATTTGATTTATGGAGGTTGTTTTGGAAATGCGAACTGTAATTCTACGAAAAAATCTAAATAGCACTAAATATGTTATGAGTTGAAGGGATAGAGACACAATTCTGAAATTTGATGTTTAGGCTGCCAATGGCATCTGTTTTTGATATTTGGTATTACATTTGGTATTAGGTGAAGGATTAGGGCTGGAATCCTTATATTTTATATTGAGGTCTCTGTTAGTATCTGCAATTGTGATATGGAGGTGGTTTTGAAGATGTATACTGTAATTTTACGAAAAGTATTAAATAGTACTAAATTGTGAACGATTGTAGCTGAAATCCTGAAATTTGATAAGAATGTCACTGTAGGTGTCTGTGGTTGAGAGAAGGAGCTAGTTTTGGATATGCGTACTATAATTGTACTGAATGGTACTTAATTTGGTAATGGGGGAAGTTACAGAGCTGTGTTGGTGATTTTTATTCTTTATGACAACAGGTACAACATTGGCGTTGAGAGAAAAAGTTTGATAGATATGAGGCCAACAAAAGGATTATTTTGACATTAAGAAGTGAAATCTTTGGGGGCCCAAAGCCATTAAAGTGCAATATGAAGCGAATAAAACAGTAGTTACATTTTGAAAGCAACACTTTTAAAAACAATTGCTTTTAGGCTTTTGCAATGCAGCTTTAAAACCCTCAAATACCAATTATAGGGAAGTATCGTTATATGGGCACTATAAGAAACTTTTCTGCCAGTAGAAGTAATGTAATTACTCCAAATACCAAATTGTACACAATTACGTTAGAAAATGTTTCTAAAATCGTTAAAATTCGGAATATCGGGAGGTGCCGTGATATGAAATTTAGACCTATATAGTCTGCCGAAGAGCTTTAACTATCAAACTTCAACCATTTCCCCTGGAAAATGTGTGGGCTGTAGACAGTTATAGCCCACATTGATTTGTTTGAAGACCAAAGGTAGCTCGGTGTGAAATCTTAGCTTAATATTACAAGTCGGTGGGACTTTAGCGTGATTAAAACTGGCGAATAGATATGCCTACATAAGCTTAAAATTTTACGTACGGGTCTAAAACAATTATTTCGATGAGTTACAATGGAAAAAAATTGCATTCCTTTTTATATCCTACACCACATAGTGGTAAGGATATTATGACTAGAGATAGACCCCTAGTTACTTTTAAGGATCTTCATAGAATCCGTTTCTGATTCGATTTATGTATGTTAGTCCGTTTGTACGTCCATGTATTCTTGTAAACAAAATTCAGGTCCAATTGAGTTAAAATTTTCCAAACAATATTTGTTTGGCCTAAGGACGAACCCTATTGAAATTGATGAGAATCGACTCAAATTTAGATATAGCTTCCATATATATCTTAATTGATTTCGGGCTAATTGTGCACCAAATGGCCAATATCAATCCAAATAACCTGAGTTTTGGCACATTCGACCGAATTCAGTCTAAAAGTATGTACATAAAATTTGTCAGTTAAAGTTATAGCTCCCATATAAATGTTTCATCCGATTCCACAAGTATGATATTTGGTACCAGATAACTTATGAAGCTTAAAAATACCTCTGTCAAGTTTTATCGAGATCGGATCGGATTAGCATATAGCTCCCATATATATAACTTTATCCGATTTCAGTTTTTTGTGCATCAATGGCTAACATCAGTCCAAATGGGCTGAATTTCTGGCACTTTCGACGGAATTCAGCCTAAAGGCAAGTGCTTAAATTTTAGTAAAAATCGGTTCAGATATAGATTTATTTACAAACTACGCATCGTGGTGTGGGGTATCATATAGTCGGCCCGACTTTAATCTTTCCTTACTGTTTATGAATACAGAATTGACAATTTAGTCTCAGAACGGATGTTAATTTAGAAAAATATTGTTAGAATATTATTCTTATCCAAACAGATGTAAATGCAAAGGTCCCTAAGGTTTCCCCTTAAATGTCCACCCTGTACAGGAGGAATTAATCTCTACTAGCTATAGCTAATTCTCTATTTTTAGAATTTCTTTAAAACATGACTAATGTTTACATATACATTTGCAGCATTATGAGTGTTCAAGTGAAATTTACATTAATGAGTTTGCAATTTTACACACCGTATGTTGTTAATGCTAATTTTAATTTGAATTCCCTTTAAAATGTACACGGAAATTACAAAGGATGGAAAACGAGGGATGGATGACGCTTTACTGAGATAATCTCCATTATGTGAATTAATCCGTTGGAAAATTTCACTTTCTTTCAGGGGCGTTTGAACTATTAAAATTGAATTTGCCTGCAAAAAGATTATGTAAAAAGTACATGTTTTCCCTATGTCTTATAGAGAAAAAGTTAGGTCTTTTACCCACAATCATGGAAATAAAGCAGAAAAATTAAATATAATATAAATATGCTAAAGTGTGTGAACAGAAAGCTCTGATAAATATGACCAGCCTGGTGGTTCCCTTAAAGAAATCACCTAATGTTCCCCAATTTTTTTGAATCGCTTTTGTCATTCGATTTTGTGTTAATAAACACCATTTTCCTGCAATTCATTAATTTTCACATGCAATTAATTGAGTTTTTTGTTGTACACAGTCAGTGCACAATAAAACACAAAACAATACATCAATTCCAATTTAATTATATCCTTCAAAATTTTTATTCAATTAATTATAAATTGATTGTCAGGTGTGCGGCGGAAAAATCGGTAGCAATTTTCATTTCGGTTAAAAAAACAACGAAACAAAATTAATACAACAACAACAATAAGCTAGGGATATTAGCATGACATATTGTAATAAAAAATACACACTCACTCATACACCAACAAAAGCAACAATAATATTGCGGTCAAATAGTGCCAAAGGCACAATTCTATTAAAAAGGGGCAATTAACTGGAAACAAAATAACCAGTTGTTGGAGATAATTAATTTTCCCTTTTTAATTTTTAGGTTGGGGTTGAGAGGTTAGAAACCTCAAACAATTGTGTGAATTTAAATTAATGGAAAATAAATGAAATGCAGATAGATATATTTTTAAATTCGATATGATTTTTAAATTCGATATGAATTCAAGTATCTTTCAAGAATCTACGTAAAGTATATAAAAATAATTTAACTTCCTTGGATGATATTTTACTTAGATTCCCACCGTTCATGTACAGAGTTTCTTTAATTCGTATATTGTAAGTCGGCGGAATCGAAAGAATTTGGCCTATAACTGTGATTATAATGTCTAATTTCCGATTAAATGCGTTTTTTTGGCTCAACTTAATTTGCAGAGAATTATCGGAGATATCCCAAAGTGGACCCGACCTAAGGCTCGTGAGCTGAACATATCGCAATATTCCATTCGGAAAATATTAAAAAATGAGCTTACCCTGAGCCATTGAAATTCTAAAAAGACCTAAAGAGTTGCTACGCTTGTCCGAAAGTGGTAAACTGCCGAATTTGGTTTTCACCGATGAGAAAACATTCGTTGTCCAGCAGTTTGTAAATAAACAAAATGATCGTGTTTACTTGCCAAAGAGGCCAGATTAAAATGTTGGTCGCGAATATTATCGCGAAAATATGCTGGAGGATGTATTAAAGCCTTGGGCATGCAATCATTTTGACCGCAGACCTTCGAAATTCCAACAGGACTCAGCACGCGCCACCCAAGAATGGTTTCAAAATGAGGTTCCTCGCTTCATTTCCAGCGCACAATGGCCACCAAAATCTCCGGATACCAATCCGTTGGACTATTGTGTCTGGAGTATTTTGGAAAGCAAGGTTGGTACTAAAAAATACCAAAGTGTCGATCACCTCAAGCTACGCCCGGAATTTTTCATTGGCCGTTTGAAGGCCATAATTCTTGCCAAAGGTGACCAATTCGAAAAAATCTAGATTTATTCAAAAATTTGATGGTATTTCCGAAATTTCTTGCTATCATTCAATAAGATCTCCACCCTGTACTGCAATGAGTGCCTCAAGTCTCGCCAAAATCATAAAGAAAGAATTCAACTTTCTCTGCTTTGGTTTGCCAAATGTGGCTTTAATCTTTAACTAAAGAGGTGGTGGTAAAATTTGTCCTCCCTTCACATTTTCTTGAAATTCTCTCTTCTATTCATCGCAATAGGAAAAAGTTTTTTTTTTAATGAAAAAAATCTGTTTTTACTATTGTAATTTAAAATATATAAACTTATACTTATAAAACAAATAATTATCAAAAAATATTTTTAAAAATTTTTTTTTTTTTTTTTTTAATTTAGAGGGGTAAAATTTACCATCATGTTACCAGTTAAAGGTAAAAAAAAGAGAATATTTGAAGCGCTAAAGTAATTTTTTTTTTTTGTATTCGGGTTTTTGATTTTAGTCATGGCTTGCGACCTCTGTGCTATGGTGGACATTAGTTGTTCCTCTATTCTTTCACTTCCTCTCCATCTTAATCTTCCAAAATTTGGAATTACAGAAAACTTTTTGGTGGACTATTATTCGCCCTCATGTTTAAAAATTTAAGAATAAAACATACTACCTTAAATATCGTAAGCTCAGTCGACAACAGCACGTCTCTTTTTGCAAAATTTAAATGTTAATAAGATCCGTACCAAATTTGATCTCAATCGGAAAAAATATTACTTTAACCTTGACCACAGTGTGGTGTTAATGCCTTTTAAAATAAGGTTAGTGTTGCGCATTAGTTTTGCTCATTTATACCCAACAAATTTACATATACAGCGTAAATTTTACATTTTCTCAATATAAAACAAAAACAAATCACTCACCTTAGGAGAAGGTACTACCGAGAAGGTATTCATAATTCTATCTGGGTATTCTTCACGAATTTTCGAAATCAATAGAGTACCCAAGCCAGAACCGGTACCACCGCCCAAAGAATGGGCCAATTGGAAGCCTTGAAGGCAGTCACAACCCTCCGATTCCTTGCGAACTACATCCAAGACGCTTTCAATCAATTCAGCACCTTCGGTGTAGTGGCCTTTGGCCCAGTTGTTACCTTAATTGAAAATAAGTAATGAATTTATGAAAATCGAAAAAATCACAAATTAATCCTACCGGCTCCAGATTGGCCAAACACAAAGTTATCAGGTCTAAACAATTGACCATAGGGCGATTGGCGTACCGAATCCATGGTACCAGGTTCCAAATCGATCAAAACGGCACGTGGCACATATTTGTTGCCGTTGACTTCGTTGTAGTAAACGTTGACACGTTCCAGCTGCATGTCGTTTTCGCCATAGTAATTGCCATTGGGATCAATGCCATGTTCGTCGGAGATGACTTCCCAGAACTGAAAATGAAAGAGAATAACAAGGGATTAGATTAAATTTTTAAAACAAAACAATGTTTAAAACTTTTAAACAACTAAAAAAGCTGTAAGTTCGGCAGGGCCGAACTTTGAATACTCTCCACCATATGGAACGAATTTGGCAATTCTCAAAAACAATAAAATCCGTTTAAAATTCTGTGGACCTGCATAGACAATTTTCTGTCTGAGGCTGTAGTATCCATTATGAACTATAAATACCAAATTTAAAACAATTTCGGTGAATAATGTCGCTAAAATCATCAAAATACCGAATATCCGGAGGTACCGTTATATGGGGACTATACCAAAACGTGGACCTACATGGCCCATTTTCAATACCAATGGAGAAATATACATTAGAGTAAAATTTTATCAATCTACTTCAATTCGTTCGGAAGCTAGAGTGATTTCCACAGACGGACGGACATCGCTAAATCGACATAGAATTTTTTGCTGATCAAGAATAGATATACTTCGTAGGGTCTAAAATGTATATTTCGAGGTGTTACAAACGGAATGACAAATTTAATATATTGTGGAGGGTATAAAAATGGGTATATTTTGTCATAACAAAATATTAGGGATCTCTTGTATTAGTCCTCCTATAAATTGCCTCGGCGTTTCAAGAAAATTAAGAACTTTCCCAATTATTAATCAATTTTTTAATGAATTATTTTCCCTTTTTTGTGTGAAAAGGTCAGCTGGCTAATTACCTGTCAATCAACGATTATCCACGGTTACAAATTGTTTAGGGCATTATACATAGATACTCTATGTAGCACAAACAGTCTTCACATAGAATAATCATATTTCAATTAGATCAAAGTTACTTTGAGTAACACAACAATAACAACAACAACATAGTCATACATTTTAATCAAGAGCATGGCTGGCTCACCGCCAGCAAGCCTACCTCTGGCATTGTCAAAAACCTTCAAAACCGAACACATTTTTTGACGGATATTTAACAAAGTAGCCGACCAAATGTTTTCCTGCATCATAATGCTAGAGCGTTATATTTTTTTTCCATTTGTTTTTATAAAATTTACAAAGCAAAGCATTTTCGTTTCGTTGCATAGTTGACCGCATTATATATTCAGTTTAACTTTACTTATATCCACTTCGTCCTGTTTTTTTTTTCAATTTTGGCAAAAATTTTAATTGTGGGAATTGTACAGCATGTGCATGTTGTGTTCATGACATTAGCACCCAAAGCAATGAAATAGTATTTAGGTGTAAGTTTTAGATTTTGGTCAATTTGGAAGGAAAAAGTGGTCGGATTTTTAGCGATCTTTTGAACCGAAGAAGTCATTGGGGATTGCTTTTGGTTTGGTTTCTACTAACATCGAAATAGTGCCCATAGATATGTTTTAGTTTTTATAAGCCAAAGCTTATGATATTTTTCTGATTGATAGATTTAATGTTTAGACATTTCTTTTGTCCTGAGACTCAAATTTTATCAAAAAAAAAAAAAAAAAAAAAAAAAAAAAAAATTCAGAAAAAAACAAGTATTAAAGTAGTTTTTGATTCAGATTGGATACGTATTAAACTGATGGTAAAAACCTGAACAAAGTTATTTCCAAAAAAAAAAAAAAAAAAAAAAAATCTAATATAACTAGCCTACAGGAAGGCAGCGTTAGAGGAATAGTAGTGATTGCAGTCGATTAATGGATAAAAGTTGGATGCTTTCCTATTTTTTTAATTGTGGCCAGCGGTACTGTTATTATTTGGAAACAATTGCAGCATTTAATGCCTAAATCGAGGCGGATTTCTTTCAGCTACACTAAGGGACCTTTTGAACACAAAAAGTGTTTTATTTAAAGGCGTTTAGGGTATTCGTTATTGAAGAGCACACTATTTTCTGAAATAACACTAAAAAACTACAAATAAGGTTCAAGAAAATTCTTATAGAAGACAGGAGGTCGGGCATAGAGGTTTCTGGTCAGTAGGTCCTCAGATAGAAGTGGACCTTTGGATATTTTTTTAATAATACAAGACAAATATTGAAGGCCCAAGGAGAAGAAAAATTAACATATATCAGAACATTTGACATAACAGGGTGAGATAACAAAACTGCAACAAAGTCGAACGCCTTAAGTTTTATATATTTTTTTTTCAAAAAGGTCAGGCTTAATCCCATTATTGTTGTTTTTATAAAAACAACGTTTGTTTTTTAGTGGAGAACGATGGTCATATTTACTAGGGGGTAAGGCAGGTAATACCTAGGTTTCGGAAAGACTAATCCACCAATCCTCATCAGTTCCCTTGTTTTATGTCTGGGATATTCTCCCCAGAAGAACTCATGAGGAGTGGTATCTATTTCCAAAACCTAGGTATTTCCTGCCTTACCCCCTGGTAAACATGAGTATCGTTCTCCACTAATAAATAAAGGTTGTTTTTATAAAAACAACAATAATGGGATTAAGCCTGACCTTTTTGCAATAACAAAATGGAAAAATTATTGAATGAATGAAAAAAATCAAATTTTAGAATAAGTTTAGATTTGTTCGAATTGGTCAACTTTGGTACGAATTATGGAACTTCCAATCATCACACCCTGCCCGAATGTTGCTCTGCGGTATTTTGGCCAATTTCCGGCGAAGCGCTTGCTTGAGATGATCGACACTTTGGTATTTTTTAGTGCCAACCTTGCTTTCCAAAATACCCCAAAAACAATAGTCCAATGAATTGGTAACAGCTGACCTCTTTGGAAATAAAACACGATCATTTTGTTTGTTTTCAAACTGCTGGACAACGAATGTTTCTCATCGGAGAAACCCAAATTCGGCAGTTCACCACTTTCGGCCAAGCGAAGCAACTCTTTAGCTCTTTTGAGTCCATTTTTTTCTGTTGCGGTGTAAGTTCTTGCACTTTTTGGAATTTCAATGGCTTTACCCCGAGTTCATTTTTCAATATTTTCCGAATGGAATATTGCGATATATTCAGCTCACGAGCCATTTTTCGGCCACTGCGAGACGGGATTCGAAATGACAGCAGTCTGAAGTTGGTTGCAGTTTTTTTCATCTCAACCTGTATCAGCATAAAATTCTAAGTCGATTTTATCACTATACGTCCCACATTATTTGACGTAGAGCTTCAAAATTTGGCACAATAGTTTGTATTGTGTCTAGGATGGTTGGTGTGGAAAATGAGATATACAGGTCCACGTTTTGGGATAGCCTCCTTATAATTATCTTCCGATATTTGATGTTCTAATGATTTTAGCCACATTTTAACACCGATTTGTCTAAAAGTTGGTATTTGTAGTTCGTTATGGGTTCTAGCTCATGTGGCGGTACATTGTATATATAAGTCCACGTTTTCTTATAGCCCCCATGTACTTCCCGATATTCGGTATTATTGTGATTTTGGTAACATTTTTCCACGGGTTTGTCAAAAAAATTGTATTTGTTGTTGGTAATGGGTTCCAGACATTTATATATAGGTCCAAGTTTTCTTATAGTCCCCATATGTTTGGTATTTTGATGATGATTGCTACATTTTTCGACGGGTTTGTCTAGAAAAAGGTATTTGTGGTTCGTTATGGGTTCTAGCTTCGATTGAGAAATATTGTACGTATAGGTCACGTTTACGTATATCCCCCGTATAACGGCATTTTAACTGTTTTTGCCACATTTTTCCACGAATTTGTCTAAAAATTGGTATTTGTAGTTCGTAATGGGTTCTAGCTCCGGTGGCAAAACAAAATATCTTCGGATATTCGGCATTTTCACATTTTCTTATATATTTATGTAAAATTTAATATTTGTACTTCAAAATGGGTTATACAACAAGTGCCAAAACACCGGCTATATTGATCAACGGTTCGGTATTTCTATTTGTAAATATAAACGTGGGTAAATGTGACTACCCACGAAATCATATCAAATTTGGTATTTAAGACTCGCAATAGATTACAATATTTGTAGTATAAAATTGTCTATATAGGTTCTGGTATGGCCTCCATATAACGGCTCAAACCACTATATTGTTTTTGAAAACTCTAACAGCATTCTCCTACCGATTTTACTGAAGTTTACGTTTTAATCGAGATACTTTTCTATAAAAATGTTTACTTTACCTAATGGTGGAGGGTCTTTTTACTTGTTTTATACAAATCCTGGGCACGAATATATCCATTTTCACACTAGCTCCAATGTACACAAATACATTGGAATATGAAAACTTTTAAGAAAATCGGAAGTTGGTTTCAAAAATTTTACCTTTTCTGGGGAGGTAAAGAAATGAGAGAACCAATATTGTCCATGTTATCCATTTTAATTTTGAGGGAGGTAACCGGAGGTTTTGACCGATATATTCGATTTTTATAATTGCTTTAATATAGGCAATTTCATTCGGATTTGCTTTGTTTGGTGAAAACCGGACACTGATATCACATTTTACGGGAGTTATTAAAATTTAAAAAAATTTACTCTTTATGAGGGAGTTACTAGAAAGATTGAACCAAATTTGAACTGACGTAACCGACCTAAGTCTATGCTAAATTTTGAGATGTGATTAGTTGAACTACATCAGGGATTCACCTCGTCATTATATGACGTTGATGCTTTACATGATTAATTTTAAACTTTTGTGCGGAAGCTACCAAATGAAGTGGACCAATATTGAAGGGGTTGTATATGAAACGGCAACACTGCTTTTGGACAGCATGTACCCTAACTCTTACCTCAATGAGGGTTACGCTGCAAAACGGCAACATAAACTGTATCCAAATTCAAAGCTGCAAATCCTAAATGTTATAAAAGTGAGAGATTTTTTTTCGTTTTGGGATCACTGACTGATTGAATGGCTTTGCCAATACATCTAGACAATATATACAGTTTAATTGAAATTTTATGTGAAACATACATATGTATGTATAAATGTACATAACCTCCATTAGCCGACAAAACAACAACAAAATAAAAATTGCATTGATTTTGTATGATTTTATGCATGAATAAATTAAAATGATGGATTTT